CTCCCATTCCCCCTGTCGTGCCCTTTGCCCTCCCCACGACTAGATGAACGGTGAATTTACCAAAGTACACCACAGCGCCACTTGTTGTCTTTAACCTTTTATAATAAAAGGCTATATTGTATTACCTTTTCAAGCCTAAGTACCATTCTAAAATCCCACATCCAAAAAATAAGAGAAGTTTTATGTCAATAAAACCCTCCTCAATACCGTGTTTCATCATGTGCTTAAAAAGCATGATCAAGCATGCGGCAGACAGAGGCACAAGTGGCCATACTTGTACAATGTCGTAATTACCCCATACGTCAAAATCGCCTGACTCCCCGATTCCTTTCTAAACATGGGCGGTTTCCTGTTTTGAGCTAGAATCGACACGAGGTGACCGATTCCCATGTCGAATCGCCCGCGTCCGTGCTAACTTGGTGATTTTTGGGGTGACCGATTCCCATGTCGAATCGCCCGCATCCTTGCTAACTTGGTGATTTTTAAACTACTGGCTTAAACAGTACAATTAAGGCGTACATCTAAATTTTATCATAAATATTATTTTGATATAAAAAAGGGTGCGGTTTGTATAGAGTCGAGGCTCTAAACAATCAAAGTAAAACACACATCAACGTAAAACACACATTCAAATAGTATCGAGAATTGTGGTTTCCATACTGGAAATATTTGTGATAGCCTTAAAATATATTTTCATTTTTAATTATAAAATTTAGAACTTAAAAAATAGTGTAGATCGAGCAGATCTATGAAACTTGAAAATCTTTAAAGTTGACGGTTCAAAAATGCGCTACAAGATACACTATTTTCAAGACTTGAAATCCATTTTTTTCTCATATCCATACATTTTGATGTCGAGATGATCAATCTGAGGATATTTGTTCATCAAAACAACATCTTCTAATAAATGTTTTGAGGTGGGCTCTAATTTGATTTTTTAGAGCCTCGGCTGTACATAAAATTTGTTCTATAAAATATTCTTACAATGGTTTGAGAATCTATTTTCATCCCTAATGATGAAATTTTAAACTCTAAAAATGTTTCAAATCAAGTAGATCTATAAACACATGAAAATCTTGAAAATGGACAGTCCAGATAATGTGTTGAAAGATACACTATTTTACGAACTGGAAATCTTTTTTCCTTTTCATATTCATACATCTCGATGTTGAGAAGATCAATTAAAAGATTTTCTAACATCCAAACAATCTTTTTTTATGGATATTTGAGGTGCATCTTTAGTTCTACAATTTAAGGTTCCAACCTTATATAAATTTTTTCCATATCTTAAAGTATTAATATCATTTTATATCAAAATTTTATATTTTTTAATATTTTATAATTATTCTATTATATTAGCACTAATATTTTATGTTATATTATTATGCTGTTACTGTAATAATGATATTAATATATGATTATATAATTTATATGATAATTATTATTTAAGCTTGATTATTCGAGTATATAATTATAATATTTAAATATTTATCAGAATAGATATTTGTTGCAAAATAATTGTAAATAATAATTTCATTAGTCAAATGTATTTCATCGGTTATATTTTACTTATAATGTGATACTTTAATTTAAGAATGACATATATGATAAAATTAGCTTAAAATACAATAGATCATATTTATTTCACTTTCGTATATTTAAAAGTATATATTCCATACATGATATTCTTCTCTCCTAAAATATTTTAATGTACATTGATTTTCATTTTACTATACTAAAATATCTCTATCAAGAAAACATAGGATTTACTATTTTTGAAAAATAAAAAAGGTAATCTGCATTTTTTTTTTTGGTGAATAAAGACATCCTACCTCATGCTATAAGCTTTTCCCTTTAAAGGTCACGTGCCCCTTATCGTCTCTAGAGATAGGTTTCTCTTGTGACATATATCAACCTCTTAATTATTGCTTATTCTTACAATATGCGTCCACTCTTACTTGTGGTTTAATAGTGTGGATAGATAAATAGACAGATAAAGAGATATGGATACGATTAGTATAAAAATTGAAATTAAGCACCCATACTAAAAAAAATAGGAATGAAAAGAAACACACCATTCATTACCAATAATACAACACTTTTCAAAACACTATGATTTAAAATGTATATTATTTTAAAATAACACTTAGTATTTTTTATAATAAAAATGCAACAATTCAAGTCCCAAATTCTTTTGTAGTGTACCTGCATGCGCAAGCCAATTGAGCCATTGGAGGCTAGTTGTCTAGCACACATATTACATACATAAATTAATTGAATCGTCTATTCTAACTGAGAATCGTCATCACTAACAATTCCGAATCTGAGTCGGAGAATTTTTAAATACTAATGTACACTTTCATTTCTCTTTCTATCACTAGCATACAAAAGTATTCCATTGACAAAAATATGGCGTGATCCTCATGACCACGGTAAAATCAAGGTCATGAGTACGCATAAGTTGGATGGTGATAGTGGGAGAGTGCGTCTCCTCAAATGTGTTATTGCAATCGTACATTCTTTCCTTCATTTCCTACCTGAAGTTGCAACTGCCATCTCATGCTATACTTTTCCCCCTCAAATTGGGCGTGTTTGGTGGTACTTTTACCACTGTAGAAATTTAGCATGTGACTTTCTTCTAAGGAAATTCACTTAACATTTAATTTTTTTTCTCTTTTGCAATTTGTTTTGGTTAAACGAAAAAGAAAAAGTTTATATGAAGTATCAACTTTATACTAGATAAGTAATATGCGCTAAAAAAATCTATTAGAAAAGGTCTTTTTCGTACCAAAAAACCTTCCAATTGATCATATAAATTCAAGATGCACATATATGAAGGATGAAAGACTTTGAGCATGGAAAATAGTCCATCTTGTAAATCATTATCTCGACCAACTATTTTCAAGATTTCCATATATTTATAGATTTACTTCGGAGCATTAAAGAGTACCTCAAAAATGGATTTTCTGATCATCACCGAAGTTAAAGATACTGAAAGTGCATCTTTTAGCGCACCATTTGAAGGTGGCTTCTTGCTTTGATCGTTTGAGGTTGGCGCCTTATACAAACTGCCCCCGAAGAAAAGTTAATCCACCGAAGCCTTATCTAATTTAATGTTTTTTAGAACAAGGTTTCCATGGGATTTTACCAATACGAAGTTGCGATTATTTTATAGTTTGAAAATCGTTGAGGCTTCCCATGTTAATTTTCGTAACTGGTTCAAATATTTGGCAACCGACTGGTCGGTTTGGGTTATAGTTAGTAAGTCAGGGACTTTCAATAAATCAGTTTACTTTAAAATCGAATAAAATTCATTTTTATTTTAAAAATTCAGATGAAAAAATCGGATAAAAAAAATGGATCTGCAAAAATATTTAATGTAAAAATATCGCCAATATATCATACTAGGCTCAAAAAATCGGAATAAAAAATCGGATACATACATATAAAAAAAATACACCATATCAAACCTACTTAAATACATATAAAAAAAATACACCATATACAGAGAAGCTAGATCAAGCTGAAATATTATAGGGTTTGATAGCAATTCCCCTTTCTCTCTCTAAAAATTATCGGATTCACTAATTTTCGGATCAAACCTCAGTGAAAAATAAACCGAGAGAGACGATTAAAACTACTAAAAAACCTCAACTTTATCTGGGATTGATTATCCAATATTAGAGGCAAGACGTATTTTTTAGAGAGAGAGGGACTTCAAGAAGAAACCCAACTGTATTAATTACACAATAAAAAAACCTAATAATCTACAATCTCGTGCAGCTCTTGAACTAGTGCTTCACCAAGCCATTTCTGGCCCCCTTCCATGAGAGCAGGGCTTAATCTGAACATGAGTATGCAAAACTCCATTTGATTAAGCCCACCATCTCTATCCAAATCACCTTCTCTCACCATCTCCATCACCTCCTCATCGCTCAAACCTTGCAATCCTAAAATACCAGAATTCCTCTTCAAGCTCTTAAATGTAATGAGACCCTTGCTTTTGTCCATAAGAACCTGGAATCCTTTGCACAGCTCCACCATGAACTCCTCTTCTCCCATTTTTTCTGCCATTACAGGCAAGAAATCCTCAAACTCCATACCTCTCTCCGCCATTCTTTCAGGAAGATCCGGTTTTCTTAGAGAGAAAGAGAGGAATGTGATTGAATGGATCAAATGACAATGGAGTAAAAGGCAAAAGAGTTCGATGAATTCATGGTTTGAAATGGCTTCGAGGAAGGAGGTAGCAGGAGCCATGAAACTTCAGTGTAAAGGTTTAGGCCCTTCTTTCGAAGAAGTTCACGATCACTAATTGATCATGAGAATAAGGAAAAGACGGACGGTCAGGATTGTACTTGATTTTGAGAGTTTTGGACTGTCAAAACAGTTTATAGCACCATGGCTATTCATGGGTTAAGCGTGACACGCGTCAAATAGGCTTGCGTCAGCACTAATGGCAAGCTAAAATATTATCAACGCATGATGCGCTTATAAAAAAATGCGAACCATTTTGGGATGGCACCAAACGTGGTCCACCGACAAAGGGAAACTTCACCGCCACATACGTTTTTTTTCGGCGCGGAGGAGCATATTGTACACTACTCCTCTGTAAGAAGACGTATTTGGGAAGACTTTTTTTAACCTGAAATTGTGAAAATCACATCAATATCACTTGATTATTATTCACGAAAATTTTTTTTTTTTTTAAATTTAGAATTTTTTAAATTTTACATTTTCTACCACTTAGATCTCCCCCACTACAGGGTCTCTATTCAATATTGAGGCATTATATCTTGCAAAATTGTTTAGTACTGGCTGGATCGCATGACTTCATATGCGGTCCAGAAAGTATAAAGCATCCATCTTAAAGATGGATGCAAGTAGGTGTTCACAAAAACAATGAAAACAACGGTCCAAATGTTTGCTAATTAGAATTATTATTTTTGGTTTTTTAAATTTGTTTATCTTTTAATATTCATGATCTCCATGTTAGAGATTATATGTCTTTAAAAATTAAGTAAAAAAATCATCTAAAAAATAGATTTATTAATAGGCCCGCATTTCAAGGGCATAGAAGGTTAAATTTAGAATTTCTTTTATATATATATATATATATATATATATATTATTGATGTTAATTTATGGGTTATAGAGAGGGTAGACCCAAAATTTGAGGTCTTAAAATAATTTATGGTTATAGAGAGGTTACACCCCAAAATTTGAGGTCTTAAAATTAATTCATTGGGGTTTTATTCGAGGGAGTACATGTATAATATACTCCCGTGGAAGTATAATAATATCTTTTTGGCTTTTCTTTCCTCACTTTCTAAGTTATCATCGAGAGACGAAAATCGATTGTGAGACACATGCCACACACGCTAGCGAAGCTCGAGTAGGGATTCTTGACTCACAAAAATAAAATACACATGGTGTTTTTGTAGCCATCAACACACACAAAAAAAAGTACGCATAGTGCTTATATTGGGTCTCTGTCGCAATTAAAGGCGTTATGAGAGCTTATATACAACATTTTATATAGTAGAATATAAACTTAGTGGGAGTGTGATTTTTTGTGGATCATGACTGGCAAATGCTATTTGTCAATACTAAGACTTGGTTTGTCGTGTTAGCCCAATCGAGTTGGAAAACCCCTGATTTTTTGGCATCAAAATAAATCAATGAGGGTTTTATGGGTCATCCTTTAATAAAGTTGGATTGCCTAGATGAGTGAGCCAAGAGACTGTGTGACTCTTGTGTGTGATGATTGACCTCTAGAGATGAGGACCAAACTCATCATTGAACCATCACACAACATATACATATGATTGTTTGAGGGTATTTTTCAACACTTGTATCTTCGATGCAAATAAAGAGAGAGCAATTCGTGACCTAGATCCACAGGTACCAAAATGCCTGTAGACTACGGGAGCCGTAGGTCAATGATCCCTGATCCAAAGTGAAATTTTTTGGCAATATCAAAATGGCATAAGAATGCTCAGAAATGTGGCTATGGGTCTCCTAAGAACACCTGCCAAGTTTCGTCTCGATCCGATGAGTTTAAGGTAGTGTAAATGCAAAAATAGTTTCCGAAATTCAGCCTTTAGCGCACTGAAAATAGACCTTATAACTATAGCCTTATTACCAGATTGTCGAACAATCATGGGGACTATCATCATTGGATCCGTAATGTTCGTAAGCCTCTAGGGACCAAGTTTCAGCTTGATCGGACGTCTCTAGACCACGTTATGGCTAAATTACCCAAAATGGGTAGGTCACATACTATTACGATGCACCCTCAGTGAACCAGTTTCCATTAATGGAAATTGAATTTTTTGATTTCGAGCTCAACTTTAGACACTAGTATCTTCCTCGTCCTGTTCGGAATAAGCCCAAAATTTGGGAGGATGTTCGTCTTGTTGGCCCGATCGATTTTGATATATGACACGTCCAACGGTGTGGCCCGAGCCGAGAGAAAACTTAAAGAGAAGATTTCGATTTGAAGCAAGGTTGCAGAATTTCTAGCAAGTGGGCACCTTGATCAAGCGGCCACATCACGACACTCGCACGTCGGATCGGGCTGAAACCAGACCAGTTACAAGCACGAGTTCAGAGGCTTCGTTTGAGTTGAACCTCACATGTGATGGACGGTCAAATTCTCCACGCGATAAGGATAAATTTGCTGCACTTTCCAGCCATCAGAAACCAAATTTCGGCCAAATACCTAATTTGGAAACGGTCATTCGGGCACCAAATCGAGCCACGTTTGTTGCCAAATGTTCATGATGACATGCTCGTCAAAATACCACGAAGAAATCGTGGAAAACAACGAGAAACGAGCGTGATCTTGAATCAAAGATCGTACGTTTCTCGTAATTTTGACACTCTGAGATCGTGGCTGAAAAACCTGATCCATGACACGAAATGGGTATCAAAACGACCGTCTCCTTGAGCCGATCAAGAAAGCAGTAATATTTTGGCCGGATAGAGGCCAGAAAGACCATGAATGGGCCACGAAAGTTCGCAAGAGTTGCATGGCCATGACAAAGACTGAATTGGAATTTCAAGAATTGTGGGCAATGAGCAAAATCGTCATTTTGCCCCTATTTTCTTATTTTTAGTTAATTTATTTAAATGCTATTTTTAGTCAATTAGGTCAAGTATTGGGCATCCACCCATGTTTGGATTGAAATTCTATAAGTACACATGATGAGAACATGTAAAGGACCCCCTTGATCAATTGAAAACTTTTGGCTTATCTTCAAGTTTGGGGTCACATTTTGCTTTCTTTGGAGAGAGAAAACTTTGGTTGGTAACCCTAGGCCCCATTGAGGTAATCTGGCCTCTCCTCCCCTCTTTCTCTCTCCTCCCCTCTTTCTCTCTCTTCTCTTCCTCTCTCCTCTCCTTTCTCTCACTTCCATGAGACGGCAGTGTTTGCTACTGTCCCAAACTCTCTCTCTCTCTCCTATTTCTCTCTCTTCTTTCTCTTTCTCTCTCCTCTCTTCTTCTTCTTCTTCTTTCTTTTCTCTTTCTTCTCTCTTTCTCTCTCCTCTCTTCTTCTTCTTTCATTTCTCTTTCTTCTTCTTTGCTTTCTCTCCCCTTCTCTATCTTGCCTTCTCTCTCTTGATAGAGATGGCAGCCAGAGCCCTTTCCTGAGTGGCGAGTTCTGCTGCCGTCCTTATTTTTCTTTCTTCTCTCTCTTACCTTCTCTCTCTTGATTGAGATGGAAGCCTGATCCCTTTCCCGAGTGGCGGGCTTAGCTGTCGCCCTATCTTTCTCTCTCTTTATGAACTGGGACAGCTTTCCGAGCCCTTTCCCAAGTGGCGGGCTCAGCAGCCGTCTCTGTCATCTCTCTTCTCTCTCTCTTGCCTTTTCTCACTGACTGAGGTGGCAGACCGAGCCCTTTCCCAAGTGGCGGGCTCAGCCGCCGTCTCTGTCATCTCTCTTCTTTCTTCCTCCCCTTTGGGATGACAATCTTACCCGCTGTCCCAAACTCTTTCTCCTTTTCTTTCTTCTTCTTTTCTGATCTCACTGGGACGACAGTCTTACTCGCCGTCCCAAACTCTCTTCTCTCTCATTCCCTATCGGATGGTAGGGTCAACCCACCGTCCCAAACTCTCTTCTCTCTCTTCCTTCCCCTTGGGATGGCAGGGTCTATCCACCATCCCCAACTCTTCTCATCTCACTGGGACGACAGACAATGCTACCGTCCCAAACTCTGACTCTCCCATTCTTCTCTCTTATTATTGGGACGGTAGGCTTTGCTGCCGTCCCAAATTCTCTCACCTCTTCTCTTTTAGTCATTTATTCTCTTTCTCTCTCTTCCACTCTCTTCTCTTCTTCTCTCTTCTCTCTTTTCCTTCTGTTCTCTCTCTCTCTCTCTCTTATTTCACCATCTCTCTTCTCCCCTTTTGGAAGATTATCGAAAGGCAAGCTAACCTTCACCCTCTTTGTTTCTCATTCTTTTCTCTTTTTTCTCTCTCTTTTCTCCCATTTTCCTTATCGTTTCTTCTCTCTCTCTCTGAAGAGCTAGATGAAAACCAAACTAGCCTTCCTCTCTCTTTTCTCTCTCTCATTCTCTCTTTCTTCTCTTCTCTTCTTCTCTCCTTTTCCTCTCTACTCACTTTTCTCTCTCTTTGAAGAGCTAGGTAAAATTCAAAGTAGCCTTCATTTCTCTTTTCTCTCTCTATTTTTCCTCTCTTGCTGAAGAACTAGGTGAAAGCCGAACTAGTCTTCATTTCTCTTTTCTCTCTTTATTCTTGTAAGGACCACGATTTTTTGGGCATGGTGGTGCACTGACGAGTCGTCGACACGGGTGATTTGGTGCTGCCGTCATGCGCGATGTTGCCGTGTGCGTTGCCACAGTGCACGTTGCCGTCGTGCGTGTTGGGGCAGTGAGCGATGAGACCATGCACATTGCCGCTGGGCACAATGTTGCCGTGTGTGCTGCTGCCATGTGCGACGCTGCCGAGCGTGCGATAGTCCAGGGGATCTTTCTCTCTCTCTCTCTCTCATCATTGTTGCATGCCTCTTGTGTGCCATGTGGCACTTGCATGCCCCCTTTGATTGCCACTTGTCTGTTGGTTGCTGCTGCCCCCTCTCTATGCTTATTTAAACCCACCTTTATACCCCCCTCCAAGTGGTTTACTGTCTCTCTCACCCACGTCCTCCCACTCCATCTTAGAGCCCCAAGCTTTAGCCATCCTTGGAGCTTGATACTTTGAAGAGAAACGTGCGTGGTGCACTTGGGAATCTCACTTAGTGCTGTAAGTGGATCTTGATTCCATGTTTTCATATTTTTTTATTGATGCCTGTTTCTTTAGCTTATCAAAGTGTGA